AAAGATTCAAATTTTTATCTCTAAACTCTTGTGGAGCACTATATATTTAAGTTACTCTGTTTTGGTTTTTTTTTTTTTTTTGGAATGGATTTTTTTTAGCACTTTTTTTCTATGCAAAAATAATTAAACATGCAATGGAGCAATAAGTGGAATTAAAACACTCTCCCTGCCAACTCAGGATTCTCACCATCAGTGCCTTCACAAGACTGGAAGAAGCATGACTAAGGGCCTTGGCCTCAAAACACTCTCTAACTTGTTAGGAAACGAACTTTCTTAAAGAATGGAAAGCCCTCTGACCCGAAAGGATGGACTTGCATCTGCCTCTCCTATTTTCTGCATGAGCACTTAAACTAGAAGCCTTCCACAGGCAGGACAGGAGTCAGATAGTAATTTCATGTAACAGCTCCTTGCCTCCCCCTTGCTGTTTCCTTATTGAACATTACTAGAAAATAGAAGTTTACATGAGAAAATGCTTAAGTAATTACATCCCATCCCTTTCCTTAAACATACTTATAAAAAACATTGCCAAGCTCAACTAGATATGAAAAATAATTGCAGTTAAAAAAACATAATTTAATTTTTAGTATATGCAGACTGACCTTAACAGACCAGAGATGGACTTTATTTCCCTGGGGGAAAAAGGAAGTTGAATCACATGTAGGGTTAATGTATAACTGCAGATAATTTAGATCCCTATATATTTACCTTATTCCCTAAATTACAGCTAAGGAGTACTGCATTCAGCATGTGTATGAATAGTCAAATCAGGTACGTCATTAGCTGCCTCAGCTTCAGGAAAGAACATGTCTAATAAGGTTACTTGCAAAATTATTAGTGCAAATTATTTACTGAGAATGTCTGTAAGAGGTCCAATTCAGACACCTCATGACAATGAAAATAGGGAAGCACAGCACAAGAAAATTAAAATCCTACAAATGTTTCTAAACTTGCATACAAATTACCATATTCCATTATAATGTTTTATATCAGAACTATTGTCATAGTATTATTAGATATTATATTGTAATGCAAATGCAGCAAAAAGCAGAGACAGGATTTCTCTGCAAAAACTGATGATATGTAATTTCAGAATTTTGCATAGTTTCTCTTGCCTCCTGCTTTCTCTCTGACTCTCTAAAGTCCTGTACTCTCTACTGAGCCATGGTAGGGCACAGACTAGGAAATTCAGGCTCAGTGTAAACCGCTCACACTGGAAGCCTGCATCTCTTGGAAAGCACAATAAATACAGAACCTGCTACTGGACGGCAGACTCCTGCAATAGTAGGAGTTTACAAGCCATTTACGGAAGATGGTTTGTCATGTATTTTCACATTTTCATTGGGGAGTGAGGGAGGCAGGGGAAGAAACCCATGGATGCATGAATGAGGCACTAGTGGCCACACAAACTACTCCTCTGCTGGCTACAGCTGCCACTAAAGGAGAAGCTGGAGGAAGAACAGACCCATTGGGTAAATCCACTTACTGCAAGCACCAAAAGGTCCAAATCTTCTGTGAACCATGAAACAGACAAACAAATGTTTGATAGAAGTATAATTTGAGAAAATAAAAGCCCCGCTCAGCTAAGCAATGAAATATATGGGTTATTTGACCTGTTGGAGGAATAAATCTGCAGCATGCACCAATTACATCCAGATTGCAATGTGAAAAATCTCACACAATGGTTCCTGAGGAAGCAACATAATCTTTAACATGAAAAAATTTACCATATGCTGGGACATTGCATTTCAAGGGTCACTGTTGTTGCAGTTTAATTGCTTGCCCTGTTAGTACTGCCAGACATTGTCTTACACTGATGTACTATTCTACTCCATGAACTGAGGTCCTGCCAAGCTTAGAGCAATCTTTTAGAAGTCAGCCATTAGATTTCTTTGTCAGGATGCCTTTGAAAGGAATGATGTAAGACCAAACACAAAAGCTGGGCATTAAGGAGTGGGAGCACTCTGGAAAATGCACTATAACATGAATCCACTCATACAGAATTTTAGATAGACTTTTGTAAAAGTCTGGATTTTGTCTGGTTATTTCTTTGTAAAGGAGTAGAAGAAAGTGCATGAAATGTCAAAGAAAAATGAAGGTTCTTTAATGACATTTGGAAATCAGTGGACAGCAGGCAAACATTCTACCTCTCCCATCAGTTACATGGGCCATCAAGGTGTACATAGTCCTGCCATCATTCTCTAGTTGTGCGAGCTCAGGGAAGTGATGGAGATCTGGTAAGAAAGAGCTAGATAAACAATCAAACCCACATACTGAAGCCTTTGCTAATGCCATTACAATCTTCAGCATTTTTCTAGTGGTCACTCTGAAGATTTTCTCTCTCTTTGCTCTACCTCCTGCTTCATTTCAACTGTTCCCATTCCAGGAAGACCTGCATGGGTACCATGAGCAAATCCTTCCCAATACATCAGCTAAAGGCAGGCAAACAAGATACCTCCAGCCAGTGCAACCATGCAATGAATCACCTTGCATAGCATCTCTCTTCCTCTGGACTTCCGTAAACTTTCTGGAGAAGAGATCTTCATTTATTTGTCATGTCCAATAGTGAAAGAGAGAATGAGAAGATTTGAAAAGACGACTTCCATCTAGCTTCCTGACAGTCACAGAAATAATGAACAGTAGTAAAGCTGATTCATGGCAGGAGATGCAGAGCAGAGGCTCATACAATTATTGTGTAAGCCTAGGTCTGAAGACAAGAATGCAGAACTGTGTCTGCAAAGCACAGGAGGAACACTGAGATGAAACCTGTTCACTCTTTTGAAACATGTCCACAGAGGTATTGTTTTGCTCTCAGAAGTTACAAAGGAGAAGGAAGCAGGGAAGAAACAGAAACCACATAAAGAAAATTCCCCATAGATGTTTCCTCGGGATTTTTGCAGCTACCGTCTGGTTTGAAATGAAGGGTTTAATTCCAGAAGTTCACAAGTACAACACATTGTATAAGTAGGAACAGGAAGGGGAGGTGGTATGGCATCAGGGTAAGAATTTAGGCAAGTATGCTGTTAGTCTGTGATCCAGACACAGAATTAACATCTCATGAATGAATCATGCCATACAGACTGACAATCTGTCAAGCTAACCTGAGCTACACCAAGAAATCAAGTCTCTAGAACTACCTAGTCCTTTGTCTTAGCTGTGCCTGTGTCTGTCACCTTTTCATCCCTGACACAGTTTGTTTATGCAGTTATGGTCTCCAGGCCCACACTGGTGAAGCATGGGTGACAGTCATTTTGAAACAAGCAAAAATCCTGCAGCATGGGCTGCCTGAACACATTTGGTTGGTGTCTGTGTCAGAGATGGTTGTGCTCTGATAGGAAAGATCTAAAAAGGCACTGGAGAGTGAAGTACCTGAGTAAGAGACAGAGCCAGACGAGCGAAGTCCTTACATTACTGCTTGTCCCTGAATTAAGCCTAGCCTGAGAAGAGGAGTTGTGTACTAGGGATTAGATTCACTAGAAATAAGAACCATGACAGTTTGTGCATTAAAGGGATCAGGCAGCACCTGTGACCAGCACTTGCAGCATATCAATTCTGCATTTCCACGCCTGTGGCACCAGAGGAAAAACAACGTTATGGCTACAACTGAATCATACTCTTTTGATGATTCATTCACAACAACCCTAGGGCACAATAAAAAATTGTGGCTTCCACAGTCTGCTGTCTCTCATAAGGACTGAAATTTCAGACAGCCATGACTTGAGTTCAGATGCATTGCTAATGCATCACTTGTGCATTGCTAAGGGAAGGGAAGGGAAGGGAAGGGAAGGGAAGGGAAGGGAAGGGAAGGGAAGGGAAGGGAAGGGAAGGGAAGGGAAGGGAAGGGAAGGGAAGGGAAGGGAAGGGAAGGGAAGGGAAGGGAAGGGAAGGGAAGGGAAGGGAAGGGAAGGGAAGGGAAGGGAAGGGAAGGGAGGGAAGGGAAGGGAAGGGAAGGGAAGGGAAGGGAAGGGAAGGGAAGGGAAGGGAAGGGAAGGGAAGGGAAGGGAAGGGAAGGGAAGGGAAGGGAAGGGAAGGGAAGGGAAGGGAAGGGAAGGGAAGGGAAGGGAAGGGAAGGAAGGGAAGGGAAGGGAAGGGAAGGGAAGGGAAGGGAGGGGAAGGGAAGGGAAGGGAGGGGAGGGGAAGGGAGGGGAAGGGAGGGGAAGGGAGGGGAAGGGAGGGGAAGGGAGGGGAAGGGAAGGGAAGGGAAGGGAAGGGAAGGGAAGGGAAGGGAAGGGAAGGGAAGGGAAGGGAAGGGAAGGGAAGGGAAGGGAAGGGAAGGGAAGGGAAGGGAAGGGAAGGGAAGGGAAGGGAAGGGAAGGGAAGGGAAGGGAAGGGAAGGGAAGGGAAGGGAAGGGAAGGGAAGGGAAGGGAAGGGAAGGGAAGGGAAGGGAAGGGAAGGGAAGGGAAGGGAAGGGAAGGGAAGGGAAGGGAAGGGAAAATTTAATATTTGGGCTTTAGGAGGTGGAGGCAGAGGAAATATTCTAACGTGCATCACAGAGCTACAGTATATGACAGCACATACAGGTCCTTGGGAAAAAACACTTCTCCAAACACCTGGAAAAAAATGTTGCTCTAAGAACCTTAGCAGAGATGAAGGCTCAGAGGGGAAGAGAAAAGCTAGGATAAGCACAGTGTTCAAGGTGACAAAAAGTTCAGGTGTCCTTTTTACACAGCCAGAGAGGTTTTCTTTCATCACTGCAAGTGACATTACACCACTGGGGACAAAGCCACCCTGCAGGCTCACAGTTGTGATCCCTGGTCAGGCATCATGCTTTTGCACTGGACAACAGTAAATCTCAAACAGACCTATACAAGGAACTTTCAGCCCATAATTTGATATATCTGGTTTTCCTTCTTATTTCTCCAAGCACAACTTGTCAGGAGACTGGCCGCAAAAATCTTAATCTGCTTTAAAGTAGTTGCAAATGCTTTCCACAGCCTATATGTTGTTCTATATGCAAGCAGTGTGGTGAGTTTCAAATTATATTCTGTAGAGGGGTGGGTCATTTGTATTGTGACTGTCCATCTTCAGAATCACTGGCAGCAAAAGGGTGATACTGAAGAGAAAAAGGAACTTGTGGCTTCCAAGAGTAGTAGAGCTGGGCCACAGCTTCCTGCAAGAGTTCCAGGACAACTCTGGATAATAATAATAATTGTCCAAGATACAGCACCTTGCTTTTACGCTTCTGGAAAGCTTTATTTTTTGTTTGCTGAGTTCACTTTTTGGTTAGCTGGAGTTTTTAAAGACAGATGCAACTGTGTAGTTCTTGAACTGCCCAGGACACAGCCACTCTCTCCCAAGCACATCTTTCCCACTGCACTTCTACAGCAGGTTCCCAACAATGTCTTCTTGAGAAGATATTCCCAAGATCGTGTTTTCCTAAGTTCAGAACAATGGCACAAGAGATTATCAATCGGTTTAATAGGATGTGGATTTTGGAGTGGAGGAGTGAAGTGACAGATGAAAGAAAAGGTTTGGGATATGGATGCAATTTCCAGTATGAAAACAAATAACATTCTGAACTTAGCAATTTAATTCAGTCTTCAAAACTCATGCTCCCTTGAACATTCAACTCAAAGACTACCTTTTGTGGGTAGGAGGGCTGGCAAAGCTTAGGCACAGTGAAAACCACTAAATGCCAATGGGAATGACAAAAATCACTCCTAAATTAATATGTGGGTTCATGCAATGTGGCTCATGTCACAAAATAACTGAGGAATATAACTGTACTCATACTCTCTGATTGTTGCGTCTTAAAATAGGAGGAAAGTGGTCTTGGTTGAAGAGATAGGGGTTGCACTAAGTTCATACAGTAAAACAAATTTTAGGCACTCAGCCTTCTATTTTTGCTATTATTGCTATTTTTAAGCAATAACTAGAGCACCTTGGTATTATTAAGCAATAACTCCTTGAAAATACAGCATCCAAAGTGAAAACAAATAGCTCAGAAATGTAAGGCATCCAGGAGTTAATTTTTCTAAGTAACAGAGAAGCAGAATCCACCTACATTTCTGACATCTTCCATTAGTAAGTTTTCTAGATGAGCAATTCATGACACTGAAGAAACAAGATCATTAGAATGTGAAATGAAGGGTGATGGATGGATACCATAGCAAAGAAAATAATAAATCATGATCTGAGCTACAGATGTGCAATTCTGGAGAACGTGGCTTCTTCTGACTCGACTGGATTGTGTTAGACCACAGCTTTTCAAATACATCCCTCTACATTCTTCTGTTGTGAAATTAAACCAAGGATATAGCCCTCATGAAGGAACTATAACCAAGAAGGAACGAAGAAGTTCTAAGCATGCTACTGTATAAATCAACATGGAGTTCACATCTACAATACTATGCACCTTTTTTTCCCACCTTTTTTTCCACCAAAAGAACATAATAGAACTAGACAAAATAATGTTGCAATTGTTGGTTGAGAGTTACAAAGCAGCTTCAAGATGAGAACAAAATAAATAGTTTAGATCTCTGAAGATTGGAAGAGATATGACTGAGCATGAATATGATAGAAAGCTTTAAAACCACGAATGGTATACAGAAATTGAATAGGAGATGATTACTCATTATTTTTTATACCACCCAAACTAGGAGGCAGCCAGTAAAATGATCAAGACGTAGGTTTAAAACAAATGAAAAAGGATTTTTAAAAATAACACACACTTGAATTGGGGAATTAGACCATGGATTTCTCTGGAGGTCAAAAGTATAAATGGCTCCAAATGTAGTTAGATTGAGGACAGGTCTATCAGTGACTATCAGACATGATGGCTGAGATGGAGTATTTGGCTCAGAAAATGCCTAAAATGCAAATTTCGAGAAGTTAGAAAGATACACTGGGGAATATTCACCCCAAACCTCCTCTAGTGGTGGAGTGAAAAACACACAATAACACTTAAAAGTCTCAAAAGCATCTCATTTTGAAGGCAAGTCTGATCACTGACCCAGGCAGATTCACTGTGCCTGTGGAATGGCATGCCTAGTATCACAGATCACCTTGGGAGTGCCAGCTGGAAAGAGATTTAAAAATAGGATGAATCAACTTCACTGGATTATAGAACAAAGGCAATTATTTGGATTATGCAGTTGAGAGAAAAACAGGTACAGTAATTCTGAAGGAGCTTTGTCATAGACCTTCATTGCCTCCATGGATCTTGGGAAGTATTTGTTTTGTGCAGTCTTCTGGGGAAATGACGAAAACAACAAAGTGCATTAATATCGACTTGAAACTTCATTCTGATTTTCTGCTCTGGATTCTGTCCAGTGCTTCCTCCCACATCAAGATGTAGAGGACAAACCCAGCAACACTTCACTGCTGAGTATTATTTCAGAGAACTAAGCTGGAGATGCTTCCTAAGCACTGGCACAGAGGGCTTGAATTCACAATGCAATATGGTGTCTCATGCATTCAAATCATGACTTAGAAGTATAGTTTTACTAAACATCTAGAATTTTTTTTTCTTAAGGCATCTGATCCTGCCTTTTTTACCTCTCACCTACTCTTTAATACAGGTAAGTACACTATCCTACAGCTATAGTTTAATGACATATAGGAGGAAGGCAACCCTAAATGCATCTGGGGGCAAGTTTGCTTTTGGTTGTTGGGGGAGACTTTTTAGATGCAGTGATTTCTTATGATTTACTACATGCTTGGATTATCACAGATTAGGCTGCTTCCCTAGACAACAAAATCCTCTTTTTGATCTCACAGTGTCGCATGAATCACCAAGCACAAAACGTATTCATGCTATAATGATTTTCTGATAATCTCATGACCTCTAACAGAGTGAACGATGCAGCTAGATACGGTACACATCACATTAATATTGCTGACAACTCACTTGACAACAGAGTTTGTACATTATCACCTTTTTCCTACAATACAAGCCAAACATCCCATGCTCATCTGGAAGTTTTTCTTAGCTGTTCAAAGCATTTTGAGGTTAACTACGTTACACTTAAGTGCTTCAACACTACTATCACAGAATCAGAGAAAAATTAATATACCATTGCACTTGTATTTTTCAACTTGTTTTTGGCAGCACACAGAGACCAAACATCATACACACACCAGACAGATGTCTGTTCCATGCAGAACCCTGCTTGCCCAGTGGAGGGACAACCCTGTAAAAAGTCATCTGTGTAAAGCATCAGAGTAACAGCTCAATTATTTGAGCAATATGAGGAATCTATACTGTTACTTTAATATACATGTGCATCATTTTCTTGATGCAACTTGCCATTGAGCTATCTTTGTTTTTCTCATTTCACTTCCTACATTCAAAATGTCACCAGCCATCACTTCCCAATAGACATGTCACACTGAAAAAGGCCAGTGACTCCCAGACACTAATTTTTTTTTCCGGCACATTAGGTGTGTACGAAATCCTTTCAGGCCCAGTGTCTCTGAAGACAATGTTGCTCAGGTCTCCATGGCCTCCCTGAAAGGTCCCTAGGCCTGTCTGTGACATATCAGAGTTCTCAGTCTCTGCAAGATAGGGTTGTTGCCATGTAGAACTTCATCTCCTCAAGGCCAGTGTCTCTTTCCTACCCTTCAGTCTTCAGCACTTTGATTTCTTAAGATGTTTGTGAAGTCTTGACTAAACCTCCATCACAAGCTCTGAAGTGACAGGGGTCCAGCACAGTCCCAGTAGGGGTCAGGTAATTCAGCAGCCCAAAGAGCCAGTGCCAAGAGCTCTTAATTTGGTATGACCTCAGAATTCATTCGGTGCTTTTGCCTTCTATTTCATCCCAAACTTGGATAAACAATAACTACAGTGCCAACCTGGGATCTTTGTTCCCTCACACACTTTCTTTATTACTGCATTTTCACTGGATTTGCTTAGGCTGCAAGCTCTAGTCGGACAGAAACATCTCCCATATTCTGGGGAATATGGGAGATGTTTCCCCCATATTTTCCCCATTTTCCATTGGGAAAAGCCAATTCATATTGCCAACAACAATAGGTTTCAGTGAAAATTCTGCACATGCAAGAATTATGGAATTAGTATAACCTGACAGTATTTGGTCATAATATCTGTGACATTTTTCAGAATGATCTGGTTTGAAAGAGTTACTAGCAAAGCAAAGAGACAGCACACAGACAGTGTGATTCCATGGACTCACATCTACCTTCACTCACAAGCTTCTTGCAGTCTTTGTGAAAATGCTGAAATACATATTTTCATGGCAAGATCTCTGGTATGGATGGGTTTAAGTTAACTAGAGTACGGGCTCAGGAGAGCCATGCTGCAGCACCATGGAGGAGACGACTACCAGGGCAAACACGAATCTGAAGCAAACTGACAGTTCTTTTCCTTCCGAACAGCTCAGCTTTGTTTTGCCAGTCAGGAAGTCAGAGTGCACACAGAAAAGCAAACATCTACTGCTCATAAAAAATTGTTACATTTCAGACATATCAATTTGCAAGCATCCTCCCTGTGAACAACCTCTGCTACTTACATTTTTCTTTGAAATGTAATGAAAATAAAACTGTTGCACATTAAACCAGATGCTGTATTATCTTATTTTCTTCATTGTTGTCCCTGAAGTATCAGCCTCATCATAAACAATCCTTTTGTCCTCCAGGTACAGCACAAACAAATATCTGCAGACAAAACCATTTCCAGCTCTTTTTTCATGAGTTCTTTGCACCCTGTAGTGCATTATCTCTAAAACGTCTTCCAAAGATCAAATCCATCCCACGGTTCCTATAAAAGGTCACGTTTTGCAATGTAGCCTACAGAACAATGACATTTCAAGGATCAAAGAAAAGGTTAAAATATTCCTATAAATCTATTCTTGGGACTTTTAAGTATTTTCTACACAGAGGGAAATGTCATTTTTTTCAGGAACAACTGAGGGCTCTGTGATGGGTAATGGGTCTGTTACGTTTTATATGGTGAAAGAAAGATGCACTTCACTCCCCAACTCATGCAAATGAAACCTAATTTAATTTTAAACTTCATTTATTTATTTAGATTTAATCTAAAACTCCCACATCAAAGCAAACAGAAAAACAACAAATACTACTGGGGCCTTAATAAAAAGAAATTGCGGCAAGCCAAAATGAAACTCACAGGAGCAGCTTCTGCATAACGTTATAAATTATGGCCTTGTAGAGCACCCCAGCCCGTGAAATCCTTTACTCAGTCAGGCTGACGCCAAGTGAATGCTGAGGATTTAATTCAGTCGCTTAATGCGCCGTAAATCTGAGTTGGCATTGAATTTTGAGATCTGGAGCTTGGTGGTTAGAATAACGGCTGCGAGGTGGAGAAGCTTTTGTGGCAAGAAAGCAGCCGGTACCCTCTCCGGGCTCCCAGGAGGCCATTTCCAGGTTCTAAATGAAATGAGCTTATGGCTCCCACTCACTTCTTAATTAGCACTAAATTACACTCACACAGATGGCAGATACTGTACACAGGGGAAAGAAAGTGGCAGGCTAGAAAAGACTGGGAGATAGTGAGAAGCCACACTTTCCCTTTCCTCTGTTCACAGTAGCATGACTGTCTCACCCCTGCTGCTCGGGTCCCTCTGGCTCACATTACATTTCTAACTTCACATGTTCTTTACTTGAAAATACTTGTAAAAGGGAAACTGAATGGCTCAGGAATCAGAAGGAAGATATAAAACTTCATTGTTTTAGCTGGAATTGGATTTATTCATAACAGCTCCTAGTCAGTCAAAACTCTCCACCATAAAAATCTAAATACTGCAGAATCTAATGGGCTGTCTCACTCCTGGCAGTCTCACCAGTGCCACAAGGAGGACCAAACAATCAATCCAGTCTTCAAGCAGCACACCAAGGATAAAACCCATTGGCAAGAGAAGCACTGTGCATTTTAGCCTGTTTTGATGTTCACAGTTACAAAGCAGAACTATTTAACTTTACAGTGCTGGCATGAAAATCCTTAGGATTAAGGCATTGAGGGCATGAATCTAATAATGGCCAGAATAGAAGCTTACCTCATACCTGACCAACAGGAATTCCTCAGAAAGGAAAACAATGTTCCCTCAGTTTCCCTTGTAAGTCTGAGATCCCTCTCTTTCATATTTCTGGCTACAGCTTAGGTAACTGGCCTCTGCTCCTTCTTGTAAACATCCATGTTGGGCTGGAATCGGTGCCAACAGTGGCTTTATGGGGCACCGTAGCAGGGTCAGGCTAAAACCAGGACACCAGGAACCAAGTTTGATAACGTTCTGATCACCCACAACCCTCACAGACCTATTTCCAGGCATCCAGCACACAGATCACAAATACTCCTTCTCAGCCCAAACACAACCTCCACACGAATCTGCAGATGCTTTAATTCCAGATGCTGCATAAAGCCATACTCAGAATAGCTGAGACCACTGTGACCATGCTCTAATTGTAGTTCTAATCATCCATGTTCTAATCATCTTCAAACTCACTTACAGGTTACATCAGAGGTTTCTGACTATAGATGGAGAATCCCCACCCCAGGTATCTGGGTCTATTCCCATACTCTTCTGCATGGCCATGAATGCAAATTTATTGAATGTGTTCAATCATTTTTCATAATTTATTGAACACATTAACTGTTGTTTGCTGTTGCTTTTTGTTGGGTTGGTTGTTTTTTCTTTTTGTTATTTTTTTCATATTTCCCTTCGTTTTCTGAATCTTCCTTGCTTATTAATTACCAGTCATTGAATCATGCCAGAAAACTTTCCAGACTGAACTGCTGAAAGGCTCATTTTTGTACTTTTGTACTTCCTTCTCTCTTCTCATGTCCATATATCCTCACTTACCATGCTAATTGTGTAAATTCTGGACATGCTGAGTTGCACCAGACTTCCTATTTGTGTCTTTTCCAAATGTTGAAGCATCCAATCCTGCTCTGTGTTCTCCTTACACTGATAGTTTACATCCACTTTATAATCTAGACAGAGCCCCTGCAATTCTGAAAACTCTTCTTCCCATGTCAGATCTTAGTAATTATAATCTACAGACATGGCTTAACTGAGCTGTGACTAGGACGCAAAGGGTTTTTAGCCCTAAGAGCCACTTTGATATACAGAAATAGCTGTACAATAGAGAATGTGCTTGTGCAAAACAAGTCATTGGTCCTATAAGGACCTGTAAGACCAGGGCTCATTTGTCTTTTGTCTGTCTAGTGCTTACAAAACATGAGGACATGAACAAAAGATTACTACCTTCATCACAGTCCTAATAAAGACTTTCAGATATTACAAAAATAAACCAAAAAAACTCCCACACCTTCCCCCTAAAAAAATTCCAAACCAACCAAAAAAAAAAACAAACCCAAAGTTAACTATGTAATTTCAGAATTTCCTTCATTACTTCTGCTAGATGAGTTTGCTCTGTAATGCAACAATGTATTCTGTTCCACTTTCTTAAAATAAACAATTGGTCTGTAGCTTGTCAACAAAGCTCCATTTTCAATCACCCAGAGAGACAAGGCAAAGCACATCTTGCAGCGCTCCTATCGCTATAAGAAGGGTTTGGGGGCACTTCAAGCTGAGAATTTCTTTTGCTTTGCCTTAGAGTGGTTTGCTGCCTAAAATGACAGATTTGTGTTGACAACTGGACCGTACAAGTTTAAGGAAATCCTAAAGCAAGAAGGGAATATATATTGACAAGCTTATGTCTTGCTCTGGATCCAAAATTCTCTTTCTTCTAGAGCACCCATTAAAACAATGAAAACTGGAGATGATAACACAGTGGCTAACAGGAGAGTGGATGGTGTAAAGGCAGATCACCTTGCACAGCTTGATTCAAAATAGTACACATATGTCACAGAAAAAGTAATGATAGTTTTCTGCTTTCAACAGGACTTGTGGCATTTACTTTTTGTATTGAATGTTATACCTTCACCTTCTTCAGAGTCAGGCTGAGCAGAGAAAAAAAGCACCGACCAGGATTTCAGCAAAGAAAAAACTACCAGGAATGCAATGAAAAAATAAAATAAAATCAATCTTTCCCTTCTACTAACGAATAAACCATAATCCTACCTGCACATAATGTAGAACATCTTTGAACTTTACAGCGCTGCCAGGATTAAAGGAGATTAAATTTTTAAAAATGGCAAAGATATTAAGATTCTTCAACATGTATAAGGCACAGGCAGCAGCTGAGCTATATAGTTTGAGCTGAGAAGCAATTTGCATTATGTGTGTGGGGGAAGCAGGCAGTTGCTCACTTGTGCTGCCTCACGATCTTTACAATCAACAGACATAGAAAAGACACACCGATAAAGGTAAAAATTTGCAAGGGACTTCAGAAGACAGGCTGCCCTGTCCCCTTCTTTCAGAAAACTCAAGAATAAATCAAAGAAAGGATGAAGAGAGAACAAGTGCAGGGAGCTGTCGGCACACTGCAGTTTTTGGCTGTTCAGTTTCCACACCAGGGAATCAGGGATCCATTTCATGAGCTGAGCTGACCAAGGAAAATGACAGTGAAGGACAGGGACACGTAGGAGGGTTTCCAGCTTAGAGTTAGTAGTACCAAAGGTCTTGGAACTGGTCTGAATAAATCAGCACAATTAGACCCCACTTACAGTCTTTATGTGCTACCACAATATCAGTATTTAATAAGCATGATGACTACAAGATCATTATTAATCTGCAGCTAAGCAGTATCAGTGAAAGCAGAACCTTTGGACGAGATGAGCTATTCCAAGAAGTAACAAAGGAACACACGACCATACTTTTAGAGCAAATACACCTGGAAAATTTGGCACTATAATTGCCCATGCTTTGGAGGTAGAGGTTCCAGGGAAGAAGCAGAAGAAACTCAGACAATGTGAAAAACAAGCCCCCAGCTGAGATCATCTTCTCCTTTTTGCTCAGACTCCAAAGAGATCATGGCATGGGGTGCGCAGCAAGAGCTCCCTGGAGAGCACGGGTGAGAGACGAAGGTCCAGACCTACCGGGAGGAGTGAAGGAGCTGGGAAGGCCCTCAGAAACAAGACCAAGTTGGAAGCTGGAAACCCTCCAAATGCTTTTCATTCCAAGAGTTACAGGGAAGATGTAGACTTTAGCAAGCTGAGTACTTTTGGTTGAAATGTGAAATACAACCCTTATAAGAGACACTCTAAGAAATGTAAGGCTTTAAAATACTTTTTAAGGCTTTACAGAGAAAAGCAGATTCCAGCTAAAGCAATGTCCTTAAAGTGGCAAATGAAATGCCTTAAAATTCTGAGACATGAGATAAAAGACACAGGAGGACGTTGGAAACGAGAAGTTAAATTACAGAACTTCCTCAAAGGAGAGGAAATTGTTCTCTGTAGTTCAAAAGATAAAAAGCATACGGAAACTAAAATAAAGGCTTAGAAAAAGCCTTTTAAGTTGCAGTCGGTATGCTTTCAGCAAGGTACATATTTCTCACATTTTTACTGTGTGTTTGTATATAAGTAAGATTTCCTAATAAAAAAGGCCCATTAGAAAACATAAACTTACAAGATTAATTTCTTAGAAGAGTTTATAAGAAATTCTGGGCCATTAGAAGTGTTAGTGGCAAGCCAAAAGACCAGACCCAACAGCCAGATGAGGTGGCCATTGTTCTCCCCTACCAGGTAACATTCCAGTCTGATAACAGGAGAGTCAAGACAGAAGGCATCTTGCCCGACAGGACAGCAGCAATTCAACAAAGCACCGAGCACAGAAGGCAGCATGAGCTGTTGAACACAAGCACAGTGCTGCCTGCCTTCAGGCCACGCAGATGAGGGAGCATCGGGGGACACAACACGCGCGTAGGGTGCACAGATGGTACACGCAGCAACGTCTGTTAAAGGGGTTCCAAATGTACAGGCAAATGTCAATGAAGGCACCCTTTGCTTTTATTTACAAACCAGGGAGGTGGGCTGAGAGGTGCTGTGTAGTACCTTGCCATACTGAAACTGCATTTGTAGGACTGCACCTCAGCCCTAGGCAGGATGGTGCTGAAAATGTACTGTTCTTTCAGGAAAGCAGGAGAGGAGACAGCACAGGTTTCCACCCTGGACCAGCTCGCTGTCTTTGACAGATTCCTGAAGACACACAAATTTTCAAGGAAAGGCATAGGTTGTCTGGAGATTAAAGACAAATTGTCATAAAGCTTTGAAGGAGTTCACTCACTCCTTCCTTCCCTCCTAATTTTGTTAGTCGCTTCAGTGCAGTGGAGATGAGACACTGCACCCTGGGCTGGGAATGTTACAGTCAGACAGAGAAGCACAGCTACACACTATCCTTCTACACCCCAGCTCTGGCTGCCAGGCTGACAACCAGGGAAGCCAGACTGAAAAGCTGCTTGCAGAGACAGTAGACGCCTGACAAAAAGTCACCCTGGCTTGGCTGATAAGGCACTGTTGCAGCGCACAGCATTCTTCTCAGTTGTCAGAAGAGGTCCTTCCTGAAATGCTTCTCGTATAAGGGAAGGTATGCAGACTCTGTTTCAGGGGGACAGAAGAAGCAAAAAGCTGAAGAAATGCATTATGGAAAACTAAGGAATGCTATTATTATGACAACACCTACAGAATTATCAAATTTAAGAATGGTTTGGGTTGGAAGGGACCTTGAAGAGCATCCAGATCTGAAGCCCCTGTTGTGGGGAGGGACACCTTCCACCAGAGCACATTGCTCAAAGCCCCATTCAGTCTTACCTTGAACACTTCCAGTGATGGGGCATCCACAACCTCACTTGGCAACCTGTTCCAGTGCTTCATCACCCTCATAGTAAAGAACTTCTTCCTAACATCTAAACTAAACCTACTCTCTTTCATGTTGAAGCCATTCCCCACTGCCTTGTCACTACTGAAAGGCTGCAGTAAAATCTTCCTGGAGCCTTCTCTTCTTCAGGTTGAACAGCTCCACTACTTTCACCCTGTCTACACAGGAGAAGTGGTCCAGCCCTCTGATTATCTTCCTGGGTGGGGAGACACCAGGATGTGGTATGGGACCCTGGCAAAGTTGTGTAACCTGTCTCTAACAGCTCAAGTTACACACATGTAGGACTGGATACAAAGTAGAGATTGTTCAAATCAGACACTAATTATGAATGGAACTTTTCTAAAGAAAGATATTATACAACAGGATGAGAATTTGTTCACTGGGTAAACTTGTCCTGAAACTAAAGTAAGGATGCCTGACCCATTGCAGGAAGTTAAGGGTCAATAACAAATTAATGGGATCAGTGGCCCCATTAGTCTTCCCATAATGAACACCAGCTCAAATCAAACCTTCTTCCCAAAATACTTGAAGACATTTTATATTGGCAACAAATTTACCTTATTGAACCTAAAATCATATAAAAGTGATTTAAATGTACTGAACTCAAGACACTCCCTGAAACGCAGAAGGCACTTTGAAACCGTACCACAGTAGAAGGTAGACTGATACCATAAATTAGTGCATTAACCTTCAACTCTTGGAGAGCTGAGTGAGGTCACCAGGGTAATAAAATTTGGTGTTGTCCCCACAGGCTTTGGTGGATATTTGCCTGTTGCAGAAGTTACACAGAATGGCAGCATGCTGCAAATGGCATCATCTGCTCAGAAATAGCACACAGCTGGGACAGATGGGGATAGCACAAGCAAAGCTATTCTGAGTTTGCAGCCTTGGAGAAAAGGATGGATAAACAGAAATAGAATATGAAGTTTACAACAATGGAGGATTAAGAAGTGCTGGCAAATTATGGGACATGATATGCCCATTTCCTGCTCTGACTTCCTTTCCTTTTCTGGTTTGCAGTTACAATTCCAGCTTTTATCTGATCTCTTTCACACAAAAGTCTGTGCAAGCAGTAATGAAACCAGGCTTCATATTACCAAACTGAAATGGCACTTTCATAAAGTCCAAACTAAAAAGACTGGCTAGCACAAATTACCAGCTGCATTCCTACCTCTCCTGATTTCAGTGATTTCTGCAGTTAAGACACAAAATAAGATGCCTGAACAGCAGCTTGGGAATTATACGTTCAGCCTGTTCATCAAGCACAGACTGGAGGCAGATTTTGAAAATATTTTATTTCCCATGGAGGCACTTAAAAGAAATAGCCAGATTCTCAGTGGGAGCTGGATATTGCTCTCATGTTAACAACTTTTGGAAAAAAATGGTGAAAAAAACAGACTTCAGGGCAAATGTAATACTTCTGGAACTCAGGTTGCCATTACCAAGATGTGACTATTGTCCAGTGTGACAAAACTTCTTGAGCACACTTAAGAGCAATGAGGATATATTTCCAGTCTCAGAAAGACTCTCTCTGTGAAGACCTAGGGCTTCCTGTGTCTTGGTAAGAAAAGAAAGCATGAATTACAGCCAGATTGTTGCTTAGGGACTGCTTTAAACTAAACCTATGTTCTCCAGAAACCAAGCACTGAGGGAATTAAACAATAAACTGAAGCAGTATTTTCTCACTTATTACTGATTTATTCCCCTGTGTTACAGGTAAGGAAAGGAAAAAAAAGAAAAAGAGAGAAAGTAAGAAATCCTGGTAAGCAAATATTCCTCTACAGCTCACACACACTCCTCATATCAGCACCTAGGACAATACCAGCAGTCAGCACCTTGCCACAGCTGGGTTTTAAGAACAAAAGGAAAGCATGCAGATCACCTGGAGGTTTGGGATCCAACCCCCAGAAAAAAAAGTCTCTCTGTACCACTCAACCTCCTGCCAGAACAGGTTCCTCCAGTGGGACCCTGCCATGTTTTATAGCAGAAGAGACAATCCATTTCATTGCATGTGCTCATACCTGTGCTGCTTTTAGGACTTCAACATGTTTTCCTCAGAGTGCACTCGGTTCTGAATACACCTTGAATCTGGCAAAGCCACAGAAAGCAGTGCAATTGGTCCTCCCTCTCCACCAAAAATGACACCAACTATGGCATTCTTCTGTTGGCTTTATGGAAAAATATAACTTTTAAGCTATTCACAACACAATACCTTATTCCATTAGCTCTGGCTAACAGCTGGAGCTCACCTCAACTGTGTTTGTCTGGACATTCTTAATTATGTGTATTTTACACTGTGAATTTACTTCAATTATTGAATAGGGAACTTGGGTGCCAAATGTAAAACTAAACTCATTATTCTTCCACAAAGCAATGTGGAGGAGACTGTTGAAGGATGCTGCTACAGAAAGACCTAGGATTACACACAGACTTATGTCCCACAGAGACCTATATGCTAATTCAAATGAGATTTCAGAATTTTTTACTGAGAATTTCCATTTTCCATTTAAATACATTGTGACTCTATGTTCTTTGCCAGTGAAATTGCTAAAAACGGCATGAAATTGAATGCCCTTCCAGCATACACCACCTCACAAGACTGATAAAGTAAATGCTGATATTGAGACTAGACAAGATTAAATTCTATTATTTAGAGTGTAACAGTTTGTAATTAGGGCAGCACTGGTCTTTGTTGGAAAGGTGAAATGTTTTTGTATCAAATGCACTAGAAGGATCATTAAATTCTACCACTTTTTCATAGCTTTGAATAAAGATTTTATCATATACTAGGGAACTTTCTTTAATAAATGCTTAAATTGATAAAATAAACCTATTCATATTGAATAGCTCCCTACTAATCTGCAGATGCCATACAACAGCAAACCTAAGATGCTGAAAAAGACAGAATGGTTCACTGAAAGCTTCTTCTAAAACACAACTCTTTATTAGAAAGAAATTGAACTGGAGACACTGGACACCAGTTCAGCTTCCTAACTGGCTACCAGAGCTGCCGCTTCCGCATTTGCTGTGTGCACCACACACAACCACATGAGACTACAGTGCTATTTGCTTTGTGATTTGCATTTCAAAGTGGCAACAGGACAGTCCAAACAAAGCATTTCCTGAGTAACAATTATTTACTCCCAGACAATTAAATCACTTTGATTTAGCTTGTATTTACATCAGGGTGAGAAGCAATATGCTGTAACTGTTCAAGAACACGGATCCTTACATGGTTGTTTCTGTTTTGTAATAAACCAGAAACCTATTTAACTAATACCTGTTCAAGTAATCAACCTATTAAAAAGAAAAAAGTAAGTCAATGCACCAAGGTTATGAATCTAAAAGAACTTTGCTTCTTTCATTTAAATTTCAAAGTCTATGTCAATGTTGTTTCATATCTACAAAGACAATTATTTCATGCACTGTCAGGTTACTTGCAAATCATCACAAATACACCAGGGTCTACCAGGATACTGATTTCAAAGTGCATTGATATTCCACAGTCTTCCCCCTCTGTAGTATCTGGATGGATTTGATTCCCTGGTCTTGCTTTCAGTTATTAAACTTTTCCTTCTTCCAGATGAAGAGAAGGAATACACAATGTAAATATATTATGTGATCTTTGGCTTTTCAAAGTTTGATCCCTGTAACTGCAGACTGTCTCTGAACTGTGATGCTCATTTTTATACAGACTAACTTTTGCAGTCTTACAGCTCTCTGTGAAGAGATGCTTCTGTGCAGGACTGACACACTACAGTAAAAAGCTGATGGTCTGGAGAATAGCACAGTCTTGTACACTATTACTCTCTCATCTTTTCATACTGTGTTGCTTCACAGGTGTTGCTTCAGGTAACTGAAGATAAGCTGTCCCAGGTTTACATCAACCTTCACGCTGGTACAAACAAAACTGCTTAAAATTTTCCAAGTTGAGTACTGTGTTTCAGTAAAAGCTTGTTGTATGGCTCCTTCTGATTATTTTGAAAAAAATTAGCCACAATAAGAACCCTTATAGTGTTCAAGAGTTGTCCTTTATAGCTTGGATCTCCAGAAAATGAAGTTCCTTCCTAACATAATTTCAAAAACTGTATTTATTTTAAAATGTTTAAATTAATCTCTTGTGTTATGCAGTATTATTCCATAGATTAAGACTACTTTATCCTCTGTAGAGAGAAAGTGACAGAGGTTCTTTTTATTCAGAGTGAAGAATCATATCATAAATAATTCTGATACTCGATCCTTTGCTTAAATTGACTCTCCATTAGATCACCCTAAATAATTATCCATATTACTGTTACTTTCAAACTCCAAATACAGTTACAGCATGTCTTATAAATTGCCTTGTAGTCAAGTTACACCTATGTAAGCTTTTCAATGTCTGTTCTCCTAAGTCACTCCCACACCCTTTTTAGTCATCACTGCTGCTTCTCTACATGGGGTGTTCACTATGAATGTATAAGCAGATACAGATAACAAAGACATTTTGTGTTGTCTTGTAAAGTGCAACAATTCAGCTCACTTATAGGGATGCAGTACTGAAAAAGACCTAGGAAAATGATTTATTTACAAGCCATGACTGCACCACTATGGATAGCTCTGGTATACACGAATAAGCATCTGAGGCTGGTGAGCAGAAGAGGAAGGCACTAACAGCCAAGCTCTGAAATAAAGGCTTGCAGCAAAGTCAAAAGCCTAATAATTTTTATAAAGAGTAATGATTCTGACCATTTTTCTATTCCCCAGGCAACAGTGTGCACCTACTAGCTTCAAAAAGCAATGCACTTGTTGCATAAGCAGTTGCTGTATTGGTTCCCCGCTTTCTTAGTGACCAACCTTAGAGATAAGCTTTCCATTTCAAATACCACAGTGAGGCTGTTTTGACACACATAAAA